TTTTGACTTCATATTAAGTGTAGATTACAAGCAACATTGTCTCCCTGATTCGCCAGTTTGGGCACATTTTGTAACAGGGCTGTAGCATGGCCTGGAGAATTGTTGCAGGTTCCTTTTTCCTATCATTTTCCTATAGGGAATGTCTTGTTTGTATTAGACACAAATCTACCCATTCCAGGTCGATTTTATTTTTTAATTGGGACATACCCTCATCTTGACCTAGGCAAGAGAGAGATGGGGGAGGAATTCAGTGACAATTGCAAGAGAATCGAACATCCTCTTCCAGTAAATGCCATGTCTCTAGGGGGACTGGAGAGAGAAAGTACAATAAAGCCTTTTTCTGGTACAAAGTAAATCAATAGGTTAACACTATAGATGAATGCTAGCCTACAACAACAGCTTACTGGCTTGGGGTGGGGAATGAAATCCACCTTCACTCGGGAGAGGGTGAAGTCAAAGTGGAGTACATTGCGTGGAATGGTAAAAATACCCATTAGTCAACTGCTGAAGTCTGCTAGTAAGGCTGAAATATCTTGGAAGAGGAGAGTATCCCTGTTTTGAATACACCAAACATTTCCTGTCCTGATTCCTCCAGGCCATCCCCTTCATCTCTCCCTCCGCCCCCATACCTTGGACACCCAGTCTTCCAGCTAAGAAGCCGAAGCAGGGGAGGGGTGTGGGACAGAAAGGCAGCAACTTAACATACAAGAGTCATGGACTAGCCCCCTACCTCAGGATAGTTGAGCCCATCTAGGGGTCATATCATCCATTCCCCTGACTCCCTCCCTCAAGATGAGGCCCCTCCAGGATATACAACTTCCTTTGTTTCCCTGTTTGTCTCCCATCTGTTAGGATGTTCTTCCTAACGTCCAATTGAAATTCTTGCTGCAGTTCCAACCCATTCCAAGAGTCCCAACCATCCCAACTCTTCTCCCCAAGATGGAGCTGGCGATTTCCATACTTAGTAGGAAGGGGATTGCAGTGTTTAGAAAGGCAAACAACAGTCATGGAAGAAAGAGAAAAATAAAGCCAATAGTATTTTTAGGGACAGGAGGTAAAAAAGAAAACACTCAAACTAAGTTTCTCTTCAGTCCACTAAGCACCCAGGTAAGGGGTGAGTAGCCAGGAAAAACTGTCATCAGGAAACCCAATCATCCTCTTTCCCCCAACCTTACCTGTTTGTGAACCTTTGTAAGCTGTTCCAGGTTGTTCTCAAGAAAGGAAATCTTCTGTTTCTGGGAGTGAATCCCCCCACTGTCCTCGGGTTCCATTTCTGCGCTCTTGGGTAGAAAGAAGTATAGTATCAGGATAGATCAGGAGACAAAACCTTATCAGAAGTTGGTCCAGACTGAGTCGGCCCAACTTGACATAAGTGGGTAATACAAGGGAGAGGAGAGAAGGGAGAAGAGAGAGTGAGAGAGAGAGAGAGAGAGAGAGAAAGAGAGAGAGAGCTGGAATAGGATGACATAGTAAATGGCACTCACTTTCTTGACTCGAGTCGTGACGTCTTGAACGAACAGCTTACGAAGGTTGTGGAGGGTCTGGAGTTCCCGGGCCTATAAAGGAGAAAAAAGTCTAAGAGAGCTGAAAACAGGAAGCATCACTTCTATGGACCAAAGTGAGACACTGATCTTTAATTGATGTCTTCTCATGAGAGCTATATATTTAACACTGGAGTTTAAAAAAAAAAAGACAAGAAAAAAAAGAATAGAAAAAGGGACAGGAGAATTAGGTTTGGGAAGGAGTCTGAGGGCAAAGACCAGAGATCACTTCCTTTTAGAAGGGTTGGTATCTTAATAGATTACTAATCAAATAATATTGATTTCCCAAAGCCTTGTACAATATTACTTACAACAGTCTCCTCCAGTCCCTTGAGGTCCTGCTTGGACTGCTCCTGTCGCTCATAGAGAAATCTTCAGCCAGATAAACACCATGAGATATTTGGAAAAAGAAGTTAGAATTTGTTTATGACACTGACCCATTTTCCCCTCCTCTTTCCTCCCTACCAAATTCCCCTGTCTTTACAGATATATGTGGGCAAGTCTGTCATGTGTATGGGCACATTCATAAACAAAGGCATAGATACCAGTTCATGTGTTCATGCATTCAGAGGTTAGCAGGCATACTCACGTCAGCTCCTGTAGTTTAATGCTCTTCTCGTGCTCCTCGCTCTTGAGCTTTTCATAGTCAGCCTGCAGTTTTTCTAGCTCTAGCTGTAGCTTCTGATTTAGGCTGTAAAGATTAAAGATATATTTAGGAATAAAGAAAGAAAACCAGATTTTCATCTTTTTCCCTTGCCATGCTTCAGGAAGAAGAAGGTCAGAACTGCCCCATCTGCCTTTAGCTATCAGAGCCTAATTGGGGTCAGTGTCCCCAAGTACAAATTGAAAATTGTTTCAAATATATTCTTGTTTTTCTCCACACACCTGGCATAGTGCTCACATACAAAATGTTTGTTGAATGAATGAGAAAACAATTAAAGAACTTATACCAGGGCTTCTGTCTAATCTTTGGAGGTGATAAAGGAAGGCAAGATGACTAGAGGGCTTATATGGGATCAACTAGTTAGGCTCCCTTACTCCTTCAGCTCATCAATGATTTTCTGCTTCTCATTGATCTCATCCCGAAGCCGGGCCAGCTGCCGGTGATGGGCCTCACGATGGTTCTCCATCTGCAGTTCCAGTGCCTTCTGCAAACAATAACACCCCCCCATTTAAAAACAGAGGATATCCCCCACATTTCATCTCTGTGAAATCCAGACCAGCCCTTCATTCTGCCAAAGCCCGGCAGTTTCCTCAACTTTTCCCCCCTCCCATCTCCCTCACCTTCACCTCATCAGCATCCTGTGTGTCTGGTTCCTTGTCCTTCAAGGCTACTTCATTCACAGTTTCTGAGGAGGAATAAGGAAGAAATTAATAGTGAATATGCCTCTTCCAGGGAGATAACTCATTTCTTTCTGATAAGAGTTGCAGTCAAGGTGGGGATACTGATTAAACGGACCCCAAAATAGGTTTCTCCAGTCTAGGACAGTGTGATACAGCAGGAATTGGGGAAAGTTTTAGGTTAAACCTCATGCAAATGAATACCCAATTAGCATGAAAATCAACATCTTCAGTTTCTGACAAGAATATGAATAACTAGCCCAGGGCTATTTGTTTTGGAACTTGTTGAGAATTATCCTTCCTCACACAAGAGAACACATATGCAATGGATAGAGAGCTAGCCTCAGAGTCTGGAAGGCCTTGGGTTCTACTGGCTACTTGATCCTGGGCAATTCATTTAACTTCTCAGTGCCTCAGGCAACTCTAAGATTGTAAGTTGCAGAACACTGGTAGATCTACATTGCAGAAGGGGTTTCCTCTCTGGAGTTCCCTACTTTAAGGAAATCACAGGTACACACACACATTCCCCCAAGTCCCAGGATGAACCGAGGAAGACAGGAGGGGAAGGTCTCACCCTGAGCCTGTAATTTAGCAAGCTCATCGCTCAAGGAATCATAGGACTCTTCCAGATGCCTCTTTTTCAGTTCCACACTCTGCATGTACTCAGTCAGGGATCGGATTTTGGCCTCATGCTGGTGAAGGGGAAGAGGCAGTGAATCAGAAACATACGAATAAGGGTAAAAGCAGAGATTCAGGGACATTGAGAGTTTAAAAGTTTCCCCCAACCTTTCTACTACAGCCTCAGTCCTTTGTATTTTGCTATGTACTCTCATGGGAAAATAGTACTCCAGAAACACTGTCTTTAGAAGCCACCAGCCCAGGTATTCATACCCTATGAACTTTCAGTTTGTCACTGTATCCCTATCATTTCCCTCTGCTAATGTTCCTCTGGCCTCAGGTTACCATAAGATTTTGGCTAGAGGTAGGAAATCAATTTTTCTATAGCTGCATTGGTAGTAGGGAAAGATTTCTATCCCCTACAAAAGACTCTCACTCCTTGGTCTCTCACCTGGGAGATGAGCAGTTGACAGGAGGAGAGCTCTCGCCCAGTCACCTCCATTTTTCGGTGACATTCAACCTGTAGATTCTCCAGTTGCCTGCAGCGCTTAACCACAGATTTGACTTCTGATTTGATCTTACTGATATAGAGTCGGGCCACTGTGAATTCCTCCTCAATTGCTCCACTTATTTCCACTGGCTATGGATCAAGGAAGGAAAAAAGAGACCATAATCTGTCTTACCAGTCACACCTCCCTCCCTTCTGCTATAGTGTCTGCCATTTTCCCAGGTGGCAGCACAGCCCTTCTATTTCTCCTAGATTCCCTGCGCAAGACTGAATACTTTATAGCAGCCACCTACTGCCTAGGATGTGAAATCAAAACTCCTCAACTCAGCCTTCTAGAATTTTCTGCAAACCTCCCCACCCTTCTATTTACCATGTTAATCTTTCAACAAGACTTCATTTTGCTATGGAGTTAATATTTCTTACAAACAACTTGATCCAACCCTACCACCCTCTGTGGATGTGCTGGTTCCTCTGTATCTGCTGTTAACCTTTCAAAACCTGACTTAAAGCTTACCTCTACTAGGAAATCCTCTCTTTACCCTACTCTGAACACTTCTTTATTCTTCATTCTTTTACCAAGCAATTATTTAGTTGCTATAAAATTACCTTTGCATTTGTCTCTCTGGTTTTCAAACAATTTTTGTTTCCTAGATATATGTACTATTTATCTCTTTTAGACTAGCATTTTCTTAAAAGTAGGAAATAGATTTCTCCAGTGCCTGCTACCAAAGACATTCAAATCAAATGATCTAATAGATGTACTCCATTTCCCCTACTCCTCTCACCCCTCTAAGCAGAGACTTAGAAAATGAGAGACCCCATCCCTCCTTACCAGCTTGATTTCCCCATTGCCCACAATGACACTGAATTCACTCAGGTCCTTCATTAGTCCATTCAAGACCTCAGCAATTCTCTTTCTCTGATGACCACTGACTTCTTGTAGCCTCTGCAGCTCAGACTCCAGGGACAGCATAGTAGCCTAAAAATAGTCACCACCATCCTCAGAGTCATTGCCAATATCCCCTACTTCCTCCCCCAGGACAGAGCCTTTCTTTCGCTACATAGTGAGATCTTCATGGAGTTAGACCCTGGTATATGACTGGCATTAGAGAGAGATGAAAGGAGGGAACCATAGTAAGGTTAAAGTCATGGAACAGAGGCAATGCTAGAGAGAGTGAGGATCAGTAACTAAGAAACACTTTAGTCCACATATGAAAGCATGAAACCAAACAATGTGTAATGATTCCTTTGGAGGGGAGGGAAAGGGGCTTTAGTTTGGGGGTGGGCAGACCTCATGACTGTTTGGTCACTTACCACCTTTTGCGACAGTTCATCCATCAACAGCTGGTTCTGCTGACTCTTTTCCTCAACTTCCTGTGATTTTTGATCATAGTTGACTGCCAATTCCTCTAATGCCTGCAATACCTCTTTCACCTCATCCTTGGCTGCATCATTCTCTGACTGCAGATGACCCAGCTCCTGCTGAACCTTCTCATTGTCACCTCGTGTGGACACCAATAGCTAAGAGAATGGGAAGTCAGGTGTTAGTGGCCATCTACTTCCAATGACTAGCCCTGTGACTTCCTGACCTGGGAAGGCTAAGGTCCAAATCTCAGGGTTATTGCCTTAGTAGATAAAAGTGAATGACCTCGTTGTCCCTTCCTATGACCACCAGCAGCTCAGAAAGTGGGAAGTCAGGTGTTAGTGATCATCTGCTCTGAGTTACCAGTTCCATGGCTTCCTGGCCTGGAGAGGTAGGAGTCCAAGTCTCAGGGTTATTAAACTGGCAGATCAAGAGAATGTTATAGACAGAGTAGTGTACATAACTTTCAGTAAGGCATTTGACAAAGCATAAGGATATTTGTGGTCTAAATGACACATAGTATAACTATGGTTGCATGAACAAACTTGAGATATGATTAATGAATCAATCAGAAGGGAAGGTCTCTAATGCAATACTCTAGGCCTTGTTTTGTTCAACATGTTGACTAATGACTTGGATGAATGTTTAGATGGTGGCAAGATTTAAAGGCCTGAAGGAATTGGATGACAGAACTAGAAATCAAAAAGGTCACTTGACAAGTGCAATAGGTCAAATTTCATAAGGCAAAATTGTATGGGATAAATGTAAAGTCCTACATTTGTATGGTTGGAGCAGTAGCAACTAAGGGCCTTCCATGTAGTTAAGGCTAGTTTCTCCTAAGGCCTTGCCACATTGGCTGGGTTAGTTTTTCTCTAAAAGGCAGGGGAGCAGTCCCTGAGAACTGATTAGTCCAGGAGACTAAGGCATGAATCTGCTTAGTCACATGGGACATAAAATAGTCATCCCATAAATCCCCTTTAGACTTGACAGATGTTCTACTGTTATGCCAGTCAAAAAACCCTTCTCACCAGAGATGTTTCCATATGGAGATAAAGGGAGCTTGGTCTATCTAATCCAGTATGGTATCTTTTATAAGTATCCTTCCCATGCTTTGGCTAGGTAAAACTCATTTTGTTCAATCCAGTCAACCCTGAACCACCAGACTGGGCAGAGTCAAGCCTGCTCCACAGTAATGGGTGATGGTTGATAGGATTTGATCAGAATGATCTTGTGGTCAAAGTGAGGAAAGGGAAAGCTAGAGAGGAAGAAGAACCTTGAGCAAAAAGATGTTCCAATACTGCAACATGGCACCCTATGACTATCATGGGTAAATTCTCTACATGGGACAAAGTGGGTGCTTCCAATGACCTAGAGAGATCAGCCCAGAGAATGCTAAATGTTGTTGTTGTAGAAAATAAAGATAGCACCTGGAAGAGCATTCCTTATCCAGGGATGCTTGCCATTAACAGTCAGGTTGCAGCATATGGAAAATAAAAGGAAATTATCCTAGTCCATTCAGCAACTATAGAGGGAACTCTTGGTTCTTAAGAACTATGATGGACTTAATATCAGCCCAAGTAAAAGGAGTAATGCTGAAGGGAATAAGGACTAATAGGCATGTTAAAGCCTTTTAAGAGCAGGCCTATCACAGGAGAATGAGAACAGAATCAAGGATAAGAATTGAAACCATCCTAAGTGGTTAGAAAGCTTTATCCTAATACCATTTCCCCTCTGTCCTCTTGGAGTGATCTCCACAGAAGGGGTAGAGGATGGAGTGGGCTTTCCCACCAAGCAACTTGAGAAGTTTTAAAACAACAACAAAACCTGATGATTCACAATAGTAATTGAGGTCATAATTCAATCTAGCCAATTTGAAGATACTCTCAGCAGGAGAGTTCCATCCACTTGGGAAGTTTATAGAAGACTTACTTTTGCAAAGTCTATTGAATCAGTTAGAGATCCTAGATGCAAATCATTTTTTGTCCCTTTTTAGGTAGCTAAGATGGGGAGTTGTTCTTACTTGGCCCTGTAAAGATGAATTCCTATTGTAAGCAGCTCCCCAGTAGGGATCTGCAAAGGAGGGGATGAAATTCCTAAAAGAGATGGGTTTGGTAGACTAAAGGTATGTCCAGCTGTCATAGCCTGCCATACCCTATGACTACCAGGCAAATAGACCCTCTCTTACAAACTTCTATGCCAGTTATGGTAGGTAGGATCAAATGAAAATCCTTGGAGATGCCCAAGCCATACTATGGAATTAACACCAAATAATTCCAGGTCCCAGAAGGGTGAAAGCTATTTCTTTCCTAGTGTTGGAGATGAAGGAGACCCAAGTATTTTGCTTCACCAGTTTTCTTTATAATTATCCTGGATGGCTGATGAAGAAGACAAATGGCACCTGGCAGCTTTCAGTCTACAACTACAGTGAGCTGAACAAAGTTATCACATCAGTTGCTGAGGTCATTTCTTACCCTGTCAGTGGTCAGGTAGCTCAAGCTGGCAATGTTTGCTTTGAGGCTTCACTTGTATATGTTTTAGAATCATTCTTTTCTAGGTATGTGTCTTGGGCATCTCTCTCTATAATAGGTCTTTATTGTGATACTGTTTTTTCTTCCAGTCTTACTTCCTGAATTGAGACTTTGTTATGACCTGGCTATGCTCCGGGCCTTGTTTGGTCCTGATTTGTATTCTCTAGGATCTTGATGCTGCTTTCTCCAAATACTGAGTTTTGTGCTCTTCAAGGAACATCTCAGCATCTCAGGCCAGGGACCTATAAACTTTCAATATGTCCAGAGTGGTCCAATCTAGAATGAAGTCTGATCACTACTGTCCTGGTCTAAATTTCCCAAGTTCCTTCTCTGATTTGGGCCTGGGTGACACGACTATAATCTTGCCCCTGGTTGAAGACTGCTGCTGGGCCCAGCCCTTCAGCTAACTGGAAGACTTATAGGTTCATAGCAACAGAACTGAAAATTCCCTGTTGGTTTGAGTTCTCCGACCTCTATTCAGCTGCAGGTCTCAGACTGGTCTGGGGGATGAACCAAAGACCTCATTCAGAAGTCAGAGTCACACAGCTGCTCATTTCTGCTTCTGTTCTTTTCCTAGTACATAACCCCAGCCCACTCCTTCCCCTGGTCCATCACTTCTAGTCACAGGTCTCCTGTCTATACTATAATTGTGACCTGGATCTGGAGTTAGAGTGACAGAGCTCGCAGCTCGCTTCTGTTTCTGATTCCCGCATAGTGTCAGACCCATCCTAGGGGGATCCAAGATCACTGCTTTCTCTAGCAGCAGGGCCCAACTCACAGTCCCTTCCTGGATAGATCCCTATCCTAGTATCAACAGATATCTTTTGTCTCCTTCTACCGACCTGGGCTAGAAAAATGACTCACTATGATTTTTCCTTGTATCTCCTGACCACAACTCAATCCAGAATTCTTTCTAGGTCTTTACTGAAGTAGCTGTTTGAGTGGAGAGTAGGGCAGGTTGGAATTCAGTTTCACTGCTTCCATCTTAGCTGGTCTCCCACCAGTGAATAGGACATGGTTCTTGACATTGAAAATGTCTTTTTTTCTATTCCTATGGCTAGAACTAGTCAGGAAGAGTTCATCTTCCCCTGGGAAAGAGTCCAGTATATATTCACCATCTATTCCCAGGGCCACTTGGACTCTTCCCTCAAACTGCTACAATCTCATGGGCAGAGACCTGAAAAAGTCCTCACTTCTGAGGCATTGCTACTATATTGATCATGTAACATTAACTAAACTGGATGAGGCCAGAGTGACAAAAGTTCTAGGTCAGATGGAAGTCCACATAAGGTACAAGGGATGAGAGATCAACTCTAAGAAAATCCAGGGTTCAGCCCTTTCGGGAATATTTTGAGGAGTATAGTGGATGGGAAAACCCAGATGATTCCAAGCATAATCCAGAACAAGCTACTCATTGATTTTCTACGATCCAAAAAGAATAAACCAGAGGTTTATTACATTCTGACTTTTGGAGAACCCACATTCTTCACCTAGGTATCCTGATTGCTTCCATTTACCAAGTCACCCATAAGTCTGTCCCTTTCAAGTGGGGCCTGGAACAGCAAGACCTAATGTAGGCCATCCACCAGTCTTGTCATGGAGCCTTATAACACTTTGTGGCCCATGTTTTTAAAGTCTCTGTCCATAAAGAGCAGGCTGATTATACAATAACCTTTGGCAGATACCTAGGAGTGGCTAGACCAAACAACCACTAGGCTTCTGGACCTATAACATCTCCAAAATTGCCACTTACTATGCCACTTTTGAAAAGCAATTTTTTGACTGTTAGAGTCAAGTGATGAAAGAGTTTTTCTAACAAGATGGGTAGGGAAATGGGGGGGCCCTCTATTGTTAAATGGAGATGATATATTTAAGATCTTGCTCTCTCAGTTTTCTAAGGTGTTAGGATCCTTTATGAAAAGGTAACAACTTTTCCAGAGGCTAAAACTGCCAGTCTCGCCCAATATCCTGTTTCCTTTGATAGCCAAATGATTCACCCATGAACATCTCACTTTATTTTTTTGTGGGGGGGGGGCTAAGCAATGGGGTTAAGTGACTTGCCCAAGGTCACACAGCTAGTAAGTGTTATGTGTCTGAGGCCAGTTTTGAACTCAGGTCCTCTTGAATCCAGGGTTGGTGCTCTATTCACTGTGCCACCTAGTTGCCCCAACATCTCACTTCTAAAAACATCATTCTACCTAGTTTAGCAACTGATCTGCCTCCTAAAAGGAGGCATTCACAATTGGACTTTGGGGGCCATTAATATAGTAATAAGTAATATCCTGAGGGATGGAGGTCCTAGCAACTCTTCTTGGTGAACTGAGTGTCAAGCCCTAAGGCTAGTACGTAAGAATCTTGGGGGATAGGTTTATCTTCATTTGTACTGATTGTTGGGCAGTGGCCATGTGTCTGTCCAAATGGTCTAGGCGCTGGAGAAAAGAGGATTTGATCATCAAAAGCTCTCCCTTAGGGGCCAGAACAACTGAAGGAATTTTTGTGATATTACCAACTACATACAGTTGTTTGTGGGGCATGTCACTGGAGAGACACATGCCCTCTACAGAATTTAACAACCAGGTTGATGCCATTATGAGAAAGGCAAAAGTTGGGAAGTGAACCCATTGCCAATCAGGACCTGGGGCTATGATGCCTTGTTGTCCTGAGCAAGGGACCAGATAATCCTCCAAACTAAGAACAAGGCAACTACTTCTACTCATTGGATCCCCTCATACAAATCAGAATGCCAACCTGCCATTCACAGTCCTTGACTTGCCCTAACTGGCAAATTAGCCCTCTTCCTCCATTTTAGGGTAAGAAGCCTGTTCCTGCTAAATAACAGCTTTGTCCTCACACCACTAAGGTTAGGTGTCCTACTTCAGATAAGCTATGTCCTTTGTTGAATTAGCACCATCCTAGGAAAGGGGGATGGGTGGTTTGGAAGTTTCTGGGATCTAGCCTCCAGGAAGATTTATCCAATAAAGAAAGATTACTTTTTGACTTTGTTATGACCCTTCTTTACTCCATCCCTGCTTCCTCACCCTGGCCTAAAAGTTCCTGCCCCTCAGAATCTATACACCCTGGGGAAATAGCTTAGGTTCTCTTCAATTAGATTTCATTTTTCCTGGTATGGTTCAGACACTTTCTTCCCAGAAAAGGCTTATAAAACCAAATGGTGGTATTATTGCAAGGTGTCTTGCTTTCTAACAACATGGAAGAGGTAAAACTCTTTCTGTATAACTACAATGAATTTCTGTTTACCTAGAAGAAAGAGGATTGTGGATAATCCTGAGTTCCTGGATCAATATGAGAAAAAGCCCTCCCCTCATGGCACTCTTAGGGAGGGGAATGTCCTTGCAGGAAGGGCAGAGACTATTGAGGGGGTAGGGTGGTATGGAGCAAGTCAGGCTACATGCAACAATGTAATGAACTCTTAGCTACCTTGCTGTAGATGACCTTGGACCTGTGATAGGGATTGGTGAATATACTGGAATCATCTGCATGGTGGCACTGATGTCCCAGGTGCTGTTCCAGTTTAGCATCATTGCTTTACATTAAGAGATCCACTGTGAACTGCCCCCACTTATCATCTGCCACATGACAGATCTGGGACTTGGCCCTCTGAATCATGGAATCAAAAGCCTGGGGTTTCTGATCTTTGTTTTCCTTCATATTCAGTCACTTTGACACTATGCTCTTTCAGGGGACTACTGTGTTGCTTATCTTTTTTTTTCCTTTGGTCCTATATTTATGTTTTTGTTTTTGTTTTACTTTGACTAAGTTCCTCCTTCATTGTTACTTGTGCCAGGCCTCTCAAATCCCTGAGGTCAGAGTTGTCCAGTAATGTCCTCAAGACCATGTAAATGGTAGAGGGTCCTTTGGAACAGTAGTTTCAAACTCAAATAGAAATGGAGGCCATTAAACCTTACATAAGGATCTCTGCAGGCAGCGTATTACCTTAGTTTTAAAATGTAATGATATCTATGCTTTATTGTATTTTTACTTATTTTGTTAAATATTTCCGAGTTACATTTTTGTTTCTTTGTTTTGAGGCCACACTGGGGAGTGTTGCAGATTATTGTGGCTTGTAGGCCATGTATTTGATACCTCTGCTCTAGTAGACCTGGAAGATCTTGCCAGCAAGGGGTGGGATGTGGCAGGAGCAACATCTACCAAAGCCTGGCCACAAAGGTTAGGATAGGTTTTTTTTTTCCCCCTAAAAGTCGGGGAAACTGTCCCTGAGACTTGATTGGCCCAAGAAGCTAAATCTTGAACCTTCTTGATAACTTAAGGTATAAAAAAGGCCCCTGAGGAGTCAGTACCTATCAGACTTGATAGCTGTTCAATTCCCATGCAAGTGAGTCCACACACCCTTCCGACCACAGGCATTTCTGTACAGAGTCAAGAGGAGCTGCATCTACTTTAACCAGCACCATGTCCTTGCTGAAAATCCTTTCCACGGTATGGCTAAATAAACCCCCTTTTATTAACTGTCAGATTGTCTACAAGTATTTCATGTTATTCCAATCCTAAACCTAAAACAAGGGACTAGTCTGAGTCAGGACTGGCACACTATATCTTGGGTTCAAAAAAATCAATTGCATAATTCCAGGTTGGAATATCATATAGAAAAGTGTCTTGTGTGAAAAAAAATAGGGGATTTTAGCAGAAAGCAAGTTCACTAAAGGTCAACAATGTAAATTCAATCTTATGCTACATTAACTAGATGCAATAGAATCCTGAATGAGACTGATGAAAGTTTGAATATATTCTGCCCTTGTCAGACCAAATCTGGAGTATTGTATTCAGTTTTGGGTGTCATATTTTAGAAAAGACATTGACAAGTTGGAGTACATACAGATGAATATTCTGTAAATCATGTCATAGGAACAGCAGTTGAAGGCATTGTGGGAGATGTTAAACCTTAAGAAGATAAGGCTTAGTCGTCTTCAAGTATTTCAAGGATTGTTATGTGAAAGAGGGATTAGATTTGTTTTGCTTCACCACAGGGAACAGAACTCAGAGTAATGGGTAGAAGTTATGGATTTAATTTTGATAAAGAAAAATTTCCTAACTCCTTAAGTTGCTCAAAGGGCAGCCTTCCTCCTCCTCCTGACTCTGCTGTTCAAGCTACAACCTTCTCTCTGCCATGGCTACCAGGATAGCGCTTTCTAAGACTTCAAAAAAACTATATAGAAAAATCCAAGGATGTATCTCAAGCACTTTTTGGTGATGTTCACAGACAATTCTCAAGCTCTCTGAAAGAGAGGAGGATTCTAAATACACAGGGAAAAATTGTGAACCTTATTGCCCCCCAAAAAAGTGACCAAGAAAATAATAACCACTAACCTATAGACCTACTTTATCATTTCTTCAAAATCTACATAAAAATAGCACACAGGCATCATGGGAATTCTTGATGAAGATCTGTATATGCTATGAACTCAAGGTCCTTCACCATCCTTGTGGACGATCTCTGGACAGTCTCAAAGTTATCAACATCTTTCAAAAAATGTGGCATTTGGGACTGAACACAAAACTTCAATTGTGATCTAACCAGGGTGAACTATAGAATCACCATCACCTTCCACATACTAGATTCTCTTAATGGAGCCCAAGGTATCTCTCTCTCTCTCTCTCTCTCTCTCTCTCTCTCTCTCTCTCTCTCTCTTCTTAGGCAATCTGGGTTAAGTGACTTACCTAGGGTCACATAGTTACTAAGTGTCTAAGGTCAAATTTTAACTCAGGTCCTATTGACTCTAGGCTGGTACTCTAGTCACTGTGTCAGCTGCCCTGAAAGAGCTCTTTTTTGACTGTCATATCACATTGTTGACTAATATTGAGCTTTTAGTTCATTAAAACATCCAGCTCTTTTTTTAATGTAAACTGCTGTCTATACAGACTCCTCCATCTTGTACTTCTGACAATTTTTTGAACACCAATGTAAGACTTTCCACTTATTCCTATTAAATTTGTCTTATTAGATTTTTTTTTTAAGTAGAATGTGCTATGCTGGGGAGTAGTGAGTTCCCTGTCACTGGAGGTCCTCAATGAGAGTTGGATGACTACTCAGGTATATTTTAGAAGGATTCCTATTCAGGTACAATTTTGACTAGATGATCTCTGAAGTCCTTTCCAGTCCAAGATTCTAGATTTTCAGTCTAGCTCAGGTTCTGAGACTACTAACAAAAGACCTAAGAGAAAGAAGGCTTTTTTGCTGGATAGAAAGAAAATATAGCTTAGATGTATTAAATCAATAGGGATAAGGTACTTGGACTTTTCAGTATGTGAATAAGAGAAGTTCCAATAATTTAATAACTTCTCAGGGTTATTCTCGCTGCATAGAATGCCCTTTCTCCTTTTCTAATACAAATAAGGTTTCTCATGCTTTCCAAGAAAAGAAACATTCAACCTCCCCTGCACCCCTGTCTCCTTCTGACCACTGGAAAATCCTCTGAGTTCTAATTGCCATCCTTACTACTGCAAATATAATTACCTCCTCCTGGTCCAACATTTGTTGCTTAAGCTTTTCCATCAGTTGACTCTGCTGATTAATCTCATCATCCTGTTAGAGGCAAGGGGGAGAAACAGGCAGAGAATGAGATTTTAGTATTTCTCTCTCAATAGTTTGTTGGGGATCTTCTTTAGAATTACCAAAAGTGGAATGAGGCATTATATGAGGCAAGACTCCTGAGAGAAATCTGAATTAATTAGGAACAGTCTTTCCCACCCCACCCCCCAAGAGAAGCTTCTTTTTAGCATGTTTCCTCTACTCTGTACCTCTTTCCTCAAATTTCTCATTTCTCTTCCCATTATGTCTACCTTTCTCGTCCCCTCCCTAGTCACCTTATCATCTAGTTGCTTATAGAGACGCCTTATCTCCTCTTCATATTTCTGTCTTTCCTCAGGTGCAATTCGAACCACAATGGACGAGTTGTCATTCACAGGTGTCTCCTCACAGGGCTCCCCTCCAGGGGTTGATTCCTCCCCATCTAAACGCTCTGTCTCTGGCACATTCTCCCCTAAGGAGGCAGCACAGGAAAAGGGGTTAGGGATAGACAAGTGGGTCTGAGATACCCACTCCATCAAGAGAAGGGAGGCACATCCACAGAGACCTCCCTCCCAAAGAGAAATACCCCACTTAGACTTCTTTACTTCCTGCCACAATTTTTTTCTTTCCTGTCAAAAACATACCTATTTTTTGCCCCGGGGAGAAAGACCCCTTTTCTTCACAAGGAAATCCCTCACCCTCACTTAGGGATCACCTTGTTTCCCCTTAGTAGACCCTCTCCAAGAACTGAGCCTTCCTGACCTTGCATGTCACCCAGTCCAACAGGGCTGCTCTGGCTCCAAGACACTTCCCTCCTCTCCCCCAAACAAAAGTGCCTTTCTGACCACCCCCACCTAAGGGGGTTTCTTTCCCTCAGGGTCCTACTCTGCTCTAACCATTTCGCCACCGGCTGAGCTCAGCTTCCAGTTTGGCAATTGTCTCTTTCTGTGCCTTCGTCTTTTCCTTCTCTTTCTCATATTTCTTCTTCCATTGCTCAGCAGTCAGTTCCAAATTCACTGAAGCAGTGTTCTTGATGGTCTTCGCTCTGGGAGAAGGAAGGAGGAGAAGAAAATTAGAAGGCTTGGAGATTGAAGAGACAGGTTGGGAAGAATGAACTGAGCTAGGAGAGTTCTGAGGGGATTGCTGAGGGAGAAAGGATAGTCTTGCCACAGACCTCTGTCCAAACATAAGAGTAGATTTGGTCTCAGCATCATTGTAACTGGATGGTGAGCAGCAGATGAACATGGTTGTCCGGCAGTTCCCTCCCAAAGAGTCCTGAAGGATCCTAGTCATTTTGCTGTCACGATATGGAACGTAGCTTTTCTGGGTGAGTGAGGAAAAGAAATCTGGTGTGAAGGGCAAGAGGGTAGGAATTGGGATCAGAAAACTTATGGAGTGAAGGGATGAGAAGATTGAAAGGCTTGTGGAGGGAACCAGGAGATCATGGGATGAGGTAAAGGTAGGAGAGGTCTAGAAAGGACACTCACTGTGCCTTCAGCCAGGGCAGAGATCACATTCCCCAATGCTGACAAAGACTTGTTAATATTTTTTGCTTCATCCAATACGGCTCCCTCTGCCCCTGTTTTGCTGACCTGTTTAGGGAGGGGAGGATACAAATGTCATGAGAAGCTGAACTTTCACTCCCCAGGTGGGGTTTCTCAGTTCTTTAGGGGTAGGAGGGGTAGAGATCGGGTCTTCAAAGACTTTGATAAGAGAGGTTGACCCTCGGAGATTCCCCACCCCCAACCTTGCCCGTCCCTCTAACCTTCTCACTTCCTGCCAAATCCACTAGATAGAGCTTCCCACTGAGCTTTTGCTCAGTCTCCACATTTTCTTGCTTGATGTTGATAAGGAAAATGCTGTGGCTTCTGGAGCTGTGCTCATTCATGTCTGAAAGGAGTGAGGGAGAAAAAGGTAGAGTGATAGGCAGTCAGAAATATTAGGCTACTTCTTATCCAACAAAACAGCCCCTTATGCATCCAGATCCTTTAGACAGAGAAAGGTCTTAGCCATCCTTACCTCTGGCTCAGTGTCCCTGACCCACATAGACAAGGGACTCTCCTTTCCTGAAGAACAAAGATGCCCCAGATTCCCTTCTGCTCCTTAGCATTTTAACCTCAGGGAGAGGCACAGAAACAGAAGCAGATACACAGACATGCAAGTGTGCACGCACACACACACACATCTTAGTTTTCCTACTCACTAGTGACTGCCACATGGCGGTTTGATTTCCCCTCATCAATAACATCCAAAATTTCTTCTGGGCTAGACACAAAGCGCTCAGTGCAACCCTGCAGGATGAATATAGACATAAATACATTGACCACAATACTTCTAGAGACTAGATGAAAGGGTGACTATATAGCTTGTCAATCCCAAGTTTTTACATCATTTATTCCATTGTAAAACTACTCTTCAAATTCTGATCTATCTAGGCAGTTTACTTTTTCAGTATGTAATCCCTCCCCACTCCCCAAACATACACATGTAACATCTGTCCTAATACATGAGGCATTGATATTCTGACTCTTCAGACACTGACCTCCAAATTACCATTCTCCCTCTAACCTCACTCTCACCTTAACAAATGGCACACGGTTCTTATCTTCATGCACAGACAGGTTTGTCTTGGTCACTGAATTAGGATGAAGAAGGATGAGATGTGTTATCCCAGCTTCATGCTCTGCTTCTATTTCCGTACCATCCCCAACACATACAGAAGTATTTTTTTCTTTTGTGCTTTACAGGGAAGGAATCTTCCATACTTCTCTAGCTGTCATGAAGTACCCCTGGAGATCTAACTCCTTTGCCCCTCCCCTAAAACTCCACCCCAAGAATTATATGTCTTTACCCTCTTTTTTTCCAAGTTGGACCTCCTTAGCACTTCTCCCAAACCTGTAGTCCTTTATTTTTAAGATAAATATCTTCTAAGGCCTTTTAATTCTTAGAAAGACCAAGAGGCTCATGGAGGTTATGGAATGGGGAGAGCAGTTATACTTTGCATCTCTTCCCAAATTGTATTCAAATGGGATAGCACCTTCCTCTCTGGTCAGTTCCCAAAAACTAACTAATACTCACCATCCAGCAGGTCACGAATTTTATCCAGATAAATCTCAAAATAAGAAACCTGGGTAGAGGAAAAGATGAGAATACAAGGAAAGGGCCTATGATTAAATGATCTTACTATTGGTGAGAGAGACAGATCAGTGTAGTAAAAAGAATGCTGAACTTCTAGTAATGATTTATGTGTTTGAAATCCAACTTCAACATATGCAAGTGATTTAGGCAAATCACTTAATCTCTCTGAGCCTCAGTTGCTTCATTTGTAAAATGAGGGTAATAATACTTGCCTTACCTCCCCTCATAGGGGTGATGTGAAGAAAGCACTTTGGAACTTTAAAAGTGTGAATTATCATATAGCTATTGCTTTATGATCATGATGTAAAATAATTGTAAGATCTCTCAAATCCCTTCTAACTCAACACTTATGAACTCTAGCTGTGATCAAGGGAATACCATATCAGTTTGATGAATTTCCCAATCAACCTAATGAGATTACTGGGTGTAGGATTTTGTTTGGAGGCATCTGGCCTCTTCCCAAAGTCTGTGGGTTCCTTCATGAGAAGATACAGAATTCCAATAATTGGCTGACTGAGACACAGGGGTATGAATTCTGGGGAATTCTTGTAGGATTACCCCTCTCTGTGCACTATAAAATTAAGCCATAATAGTGGCTTCATATCTCTTTCTTGGACTCTGAGAAGATGGTGGGGGAGGGGGGGAAATGAAATCTAAGACCTTGCTACTTTCTACTATTTCTATTACTCCAAACAACATAAATTCAATGGGAAGTAAAATGTTGATTTGGTGGACCCCCAAAGTATGTTTAGGGGGAGTCTAAATCACAAAATAGTACTTTAAGTCTTGTGAGGGACTCTGTAAGATTCTCTGGACAAGAAGAGAATGAAAAAGCTGGTGCTACTAAAGAAATCTCCCTTCTCTGGCTAGAAAGTTAAATTGTGGGATCACTCTGCTTAGGGATCATCAAATAGTTGCCCCAGTAAACAACCCCAAGTTCAACAGAGGGAGCAGATGGGTTATTTGAATGCCTTATGTGTTTGTTTGTTGTTATTGTTGTTGTTGTTTTTACTTGTGCACTTCTGTGAATACTTTGTGTTTTATGCATGTTTTGTGGAATGAAAAAAAGGTTGCTGTATACTTGATGCCCTTTTACTACACCGTAGTCCATTGACTTCCTTGTATTTGAATGCCCTTATACTCACTTTGGGGTGAACCTATACTACAGGCACAAGGAATTCCATTCATATTAGATTTTTCTGAAGTAACAATGAGTCAAGGAGAAAATGTGATCATCATGGGATCAGCTGCCAGGATTGTATCAGGTCTGGAGTGAGGGGTAGAGATGAATGCCTAGGCTACACATACTATGTACATATGGTTTTAAGTGAACATTTCCTTGGTGAGGAGGGGTAGGAAGAAGAGAACTATTTTTCCAAATCTAGAGAAATAGATGGAGCTGCAGCAAGTTGGGACACGTACAGTATTTTTAACAAGATCCAGATGTTTTCTATCTGGTCAGCTTTGCAAATGGCGAGGGATCAGAAGGAAAGTGAAAAGCAACCAGAAGTTGGGTTGAAGGCACCTAGAGAGATAGCACACATATAGCCTTCTCTGAAGGCAGCGTGGCAGCTGGTCTAGTTATTCTCGAAATCTGTTTATATTTATGACTAGAATAAGGATACTTTAGAATAAGATTCCCATGCTGTTAACTTTATTAACTGCTAATCTATATTCTATAACTTAATCTAAATGTTAACTGTTAATCTATATTTTATAACTTAATCAGTCTGTATTGTGTGCCTATGCTACTTATATTTCCTCACACAACTGCTAATGAAATTCTTTTTTCTTAATTACAGGGGGTTTTGTGGGGAGTAGGTAGGAGGTAAGTGAGAATTTCTAGAGGTCAAACAAAAGACTGATTTCAATGATTAGACCAGAAGTGAGGAACCTTCGACCTTGAGGCCACATGTGGCCCTCTAGGTCCTCAAGTGCAGCCCTTTGACTGAATCCAAACTTCACAGAACAAATCTCCTTAATACCCTTATAACTCATAGCTACAAGTCTAGCAGTAGAGAGTTAATTTAAAAAATGGAATTTAATCTTGGCTATGCTAAGTTTCTTGTTCAGATAATAAGGAGAATTTGGGAGAAGGAGATTATAGTGTATATGTTTGGAAGGGGAGGTAGTAGTAGAACGCAATTTGTTGGAAAGAAGAGGGAGCTGAGGCTCACCAGAAGAGAGAAATATAAACTTAGAATCTACATTTCTCTCTAGTTTCATTATATATCTGGCTTCACCATCCTTCCCTTTTGCCAAAGATATCCAACTATTCTGCCATACTCACCTTGATGTGGAACTCAAGGTTCTCATCCATGGAATAGATGTGATTGAAGATGTCACGGGCAATTCGAGGAATTATTCCCATCAGTTGAGGGTCATGCAGCTTTCCCTAGATGAACAGGAACATCTCAAAATCAGATTGAGTCATGAAAAGAATGGGGATATAGGAATGAAAGTACCGCCTATATGCAGATTATTTATATCCAATTGTATGAATTCATAATACAGAGAAAGGTAACACAGATTGACTCATAAGTGATATAAATTAAACATAAATTTATAAAGTAGGTACAGTGGCTGGCTCATTCTGCAATCAGAAGTTTGTTATCTCAGGTCTTGAGGGTCTCAGTGTCATCTCAGTGTCACTAATGTCTTAGTGGAGAAGGAATGTAGAAAGGAAATAGGGAGTTTCATAAAAAGGCTGGAAAATGGAATGACCTGGTCAATTACCATGGCAAGACATAGGGATAGATTTTGTTGTTGCTTTTCTAGGACAAAAAGAGGAAAACTGGAGGATGTGGCAAGGAAGAAACTGAGTCAGGATGGAAATAAAATATTGCCATTCAAAGTATCCTCAGCAAGTTCATAGATGATTCTTTTCAGTCTCCTGCTCAATCAGGGCATTGAATGATATACCTAGGTCTCCATCCCTCTCCACAAAGACAGAAATCTGTTTTAAGGGGCTACCCTCCTTAAAACTTCCAGGCCCTTTCTTTGCTCCTGCAAAGATGCCAGAATTCTCACCTCCATAGTGTGTGTCTTTCCTGATGATGTCTGTCCATAAGCAAAAATAGTGCCATTATAACCAGCAAGAACATCTGGAAGAAAAAGGGAATGTTGGTAAAGAGAATAAGGTTTAGAAGAGAGGACTGAGAGGTAGGAACTGTCCCTTCCCCTCACTCAAAATATATCAATTACCTTTGACAATTTGCATGGCACATGCATGATAAACTTGTTCCTGTGTCGTGTTTGGAGGGAATACTCGGTCAAATACATACGGCTTTCCCTGGAATAGAGAGAGATGGTATCAGATATGATGAGAGGTGGGTGACCCCTTTTCTAGGCCCCCAAGAAGGGACAAAACTTCACCCTTACCCCTATCCCTCCATAAATTAAGGTCTAGTCTGGAGGGAACTGCAAAATAGGCAAATGCAGGAGAGCCAAAGTGGGGAGGGGGAGTGGAAAATCAATGGAACTGTGTCTATTTGCAGTAAGGGGCAGGGATAAAGAACTAAGAGAAAGAATTTAAAAAGAGAGATGAGTGGATTTGGCTTAAGGAGGGAATAACATACATATTCAATTGGTTATGCAAATATATCTTACTCTACCAGAAAATAGGGGGGAAGGGGATAAGGGGGGGAAGATAGAGGGGAGGGAAGATTGTGGGAGGGGGTAATCAGAAGCAACCACTTCTGAGGAGGGACATCAAAAGAGAATAGAATAAACAGTGGGGTGCAGGATAGGATGAGGGCAAATATAGTCAGTTTTTCACAACATGCCTACTACGGAAGTGTTTTTTGATGACTCCATATGTATAACTTGTATCGATTTGCTTGCCTTCTCAGTGAGGATGGGTGGGGAGAGAGGAAGGGAGAAAATTTGGAACCCCAAGTTTTAAAAACAAATGTTAAAAATTGTTTTCACATTCAACTGGGAAGTAACATATACAGGCAATGGGGTATAGAAATTTATCCTGCCCTACAGGAAAATAGAAGGGGAAGGGGATAAGAGAAGAGGGGCAGAGATAGAAGGGAGGGCAGATTAGGGGAAAAAGTATTCAGAATGCACACTGTCTTGGGGTGGGGGAGGGATGAGATGGGGAGAAAATCTGGAACTTAAAATCTTATGGAAGTGAATATTGAAAAATAAATTAAATGAAAAGAGAAAAAAAGGAGAGATGAGGTAGAGATAAGAAAACATTACATCTTTGAACCTGGTGACTTAGTATCCCACCTCCCAGAGAGAGAAAATGAAAAAAGGCAGCAAAAAGGGAAACAGAGAGAATTCATTAATATTAAAATTCCATCTCAGTCCTTTGAAATGCATACCTTCCCCAACACTGTCTTCATGTCTCTAACCAATGACTGAGAAATAGAGAAAACCAGAACACATCTGCTCTTTGGCCAGTGATTCTAGCCTCCTCTCAGCTTTAATCTCTATCCATGTTTCATGAATCCAGGCATACAGCCAGAGGAGATTACACACACAAATCCCTGAGCCAATCTTGCCCTCACAATTCCTCTTCTTAAGTCTCAGAAAAGGTGGTTAAATGGTCAAACACGCTCAGAAACCCTCCCATTAGTAGGATTCTAGAGGGCTCTAGAGCTCCAGAGGGCGCTATAGCTACATTGGAACTGGGGGAGCTCTCCAAGTCCTGAAACATTCAGCTGCTTCAGCTGCCCCCTCCCCAACTTCCCAGGCCCTTTTCTTTTGCCTGGATTGGAGGTAAAGAGGAAAACCAAAGAAGATACAAAATAATTCCAGGGAGGATTCTTATGCCTGTGGTAGTAAGATATTTGTGGGCTAGAAATACTAAATTAACTAAGAACAGTGAGGTGCAATGGAAAAGGCACTAATGGAGGTAAGGAGACCTGGATTCAAATCCCAGTTCTTACACTTAGTAATTGTGTAATTGGAACCTGGATTCAAATCCCAGTTCTTACACTTAGTAATTGTGTAATTGGAACCTCAGTTTCATCACTTGTAAAATGGGGTTAATGGTACTCATGCTATGCATCTCACAAGATTGCTGTGCGGAAAATATTTTGTAAGCTTTAAAGTGCTGTATAAAATATGATCAATTAGTAATGTGATCTTACCTTATATAATTTTAGGAATTTGGAGAAGGCTAAAAAGAATGTCTACCTCCCCATTTTGCTGATGCCTGAAATTCTACTGCTAGAACTTAAAGTTTTGATTTTGGTTAAAATTGAAATATTATTTAGAGAAATAATGCTTTTTTTAAAAAAAAAGTTACTTAATATGAATGAGTTTATCAAAGTCTTTCTTAGAGGAAGTTTTGATTGGTGGGGGAGATCAAGGGGACATTGGGGATAAAGAGGAAGTGCTACCAAAATGGGGAATGTTCAAGGAATCAGGTGGCTTCCAGCAGAATTGAAGTTCATCACAATTTTGCCCAGGGTAGAATGCAGACAGGGTAATTTCATCATGAAGATTTGCCAATTAATTAAATACCAATAATGCTTCAGACTTCCATCCCAGTCTTCTCCCAACAAATTATTTTGTATTTAGCAAATATTACCAGGTATAACTGAGAGCAGAAATGTTGAACAATAGGCTTCAAGATACCAAATCCCATTTATAGAATGAATGTGTGCAGTCCCTGTACTATCTTCTGACCTCATGAAGGAGATGTAGATGCCTCCTTTGCTCCCTGCCCCCTACTGCCATAGACATTGCAGTCACTTTCAGTGAGCTTCCATCCTGTCTGGGAAGTGGGGGTAGGTGCTAAAACATTAGGGAAGTCAAGAAGCTGGTTAAATCACATTTCCCCTTTTTAGCCTCTAATATCCAATATCTAACTTCTCTCCCATCCACAGCAGTGTCTAGCCTCTCTAGAAATGAAGAATGGAAAAACACTGGAGAGTTCTCATTTAGAGATCCTAGAAATCCCAGCCTAGGAATCTGTCCTGTCCATAGCCTATCTACTCCAAGCTAAATCTTTCTTTCTCTGTGCCTAGTCTCCTTATTCCCCTCCTAATCCATATATCTCTCCCAGCTCCTTTCTACCATTCTCCATGGAATCTCTATGTTATAGGAGATACAGGGATAAAGTAGTACCTTTCAGGCGCCTTTGTCTAAGACACCTAGTAATGTCTGAACTGAGAACACCAAACCTTATCTCCATGGTGATGCTCTTGGAGATTGTCACCATAGCAATGCCAGAGACACAGAGTGCTCACTTCCTTGTCCTTTCTCTGTTTGGGTCTTGGTCCTCTGGCTACCCAAAACTGAAAAGGATACTAGAACCCACCCTGCAAATGCTAAAGTAATTCAGGATGACCCTCAAGCTGTTTTCTACTGTCATTTCCATCTCTAGTAACCCTGAAAACAAGTCTCAAAAATCAAGTCCCAAGCCAAATTTTCCTGAGGTGTTCCTCCCTTTTCCCATCCAACTTAAATACCCCACAGCCTCTTGGAAAGGGGAGTGGATAGTTTCTATGGATATGAAAAAAGCAGCTAGTAGGCATTGGAGTAAAGGAACATATGTGTGGAGGGAGGTTAGAATGTGGGACTAATTATCATTCCTCCTGTTGTTTGCTCCACCTCTATCCTGGTAGAGATGCATCCTAGACAGCCTGGCGCCCCAGACACCAGACCTTTCTCCACCAGAGCTGTCAGAGACATCCATGCACACAGAAAAACAATGAATGACAGAGAGTGAGTGCACATCACACAGTAACTCAGACACCATTTTAAAATAAAACAAGCTGTGAATATTCTTCATGACCCTTCCCCCAGATCCATGGGAAAAGTTATGGGGAGCAGAAAGAGAAAGTTTACAATGCTGTCCCCTAACCCCTAACCCAAAGCTTAGTCATCTAACAAGACTGCTTGCTTTTTTTTTTTTTAACAAAAGGTCTACAGAGACCAGGTAATGCTGACTAAAGAGAGAAGATTGCAAAGAGTCAGAGCCAAGGGAGGTTGTCCTCTTTCCCCTACAACATACCATCTATGATATTTCCTTATACTTCAGCAGATCTTAAAACAACTCCATCTCCTAATTCACTCCTCTCAACCTTTTTCATATATATATATATTCAATATTCATTTTTATAAGATTTTTAGTTCCAAAATTTTCTTCCTCCCTTCCTCCCTATCCCCTCCCCAAGATTGCAAGCAATCTGATATTGATTATACATGTGCAATCATGTTAAATATATTTCCACATTAGTCATTCAACCTTTTCCAGAATAAGGATAGAGGGACAGAGATTCCCTCTTCCTGCTGGAAAGTGAGGAATCTCCCTCAAAATACCTAATAGCCCCAGAAATGCCTCTTTTCTCAGGTCTCATGCCCATGGTACAAAGAGATGTGGATATAAAAAAGGAAGATAGAACTCCCAAGATTCTGAGACAAAATGGCACCTCTGTCCAAGCTTGTAGAATGAGATAGACAAGGAGAGAGATGGGAAAATGTGAAGCCACAAAAATGAGGGAAAAGATGGAAGTGGTCTCAGTAAAGTGCCTCTTCTTCCCCTCTTTGGACATATATAATCTACTTTCTTAACTAAAGAAAGCTGGGAGACATGACCCATCCCTTACCTTTTAATTAAATAGGAACATAGCACAAAAGTATTATGAAAGAAATAGAAGTTTAGCTCCACATTATCTGAAAAATCCATCTGCAACAACTACACTCAGGGGTAGAGTGATTAGAGTATGTAAAGTCTACCTAATGTGCTCACTCTCACTAACTACTCATATTCCCACAGCCTTCTCTTCCCTTATGTCTTCAGGCCCGTAGTTAATCACCATTTCATTGAATCCTAGGATCCAGAATTTGAGCAGATGGTAAAGATCACAGGAGGGAAGCTCAGAGGTCATTTAACTTAAATCCCATTGAACCGGAATCTATCAGGAAGTAATCATTCAGCATCCTCTTGAAGATCACCTCATTCAACCCCCCCATTTTATTTATTTATTTATTTATTTATTTTTAGGCAATTGGGGTTAAGTGACTTGCCCAGGGTCACACAGCTAGTAAGTGTCAAGTGTTTGATCTGAGGCCGGATTTGAACTCAGCTCCTCCTGACTTCAGGGCCAATGCTCTATCCACTGCGCCACCTAGCTGCCCCTTAACCCCCATTTTAGAGAAGAAATCAAAGCATGTTAAATTTGAGTCATACAGGTAATAAGTGGAAGACTTGGGATTTGAACCCAGTTCCTTAGACTTCAAATCTAGTGTTCTTCCTGCAATAACAATGGCTGCTGAAAGAAAAGCATCTCCAAATTCTAAGCAGGGAATTAAGAAAACAATTTTTTTTTTTTAGGATGGGTTCAGTAAAGATTGGAGGAAGGGGAGGAAAGGGTGGGAAATGAGGAAAGAAAAGCAGACCTTATCTTCATGGCACCAAATAAACACATTAAAATGATAGGCAAATAAGCATCCATCTTTTTGAGTCAACAGTTAGGGCTTCAGTTGGGGGGAGGACAGAATGGAGTTGGTTGTCCTTGAGGACCAAGGCAGGGAGGAACGAGTCTCAGTCTCTCTCTTTCTGTGTGTGTGTGTGTGTGTGTGTGTGTGTGTGTGTGTGTGTATCTCCCCACTCCTCTTTCATCTAAAGCTCCATTCTCCTTGTCTTTAGCCCATCTGGACAATCGTTGCTTCACCCCTCCCTCAAATAGATCTATACTCTAGTATTTCCCCCACCAAATCCCCACTTTGGACATTTTTGCTCTCAAGCTCTACCACCCTTACATTCTGCTCCAACTTCAGGGGTTATCTGGACCCCACAGCCACACAGTCCTTGTTATCCCAGCTGTGACAGACAAGAATTATGAAGGTTTAGGGAGTCTTTAGGATACTACCAGAGGCTTGGACTGGAGCCTGGGCCTAAGAATCAAGCCTAGGCCATGATGCAGGGGAATGACGTGTACTCTTGATCTCCTCCTCCATGGGTGGGGACTCTTGTGATGAAACTGGTTACTATGAAAAGAGGTAGTTAGATAGGCATACTGAACATGTTGGCTATTTTTTCAGGAGATGAAGGGACCTGGGCCTTAAATAAGCCATGTCCTGAATCCCTTTCCCTGCTAAGTTCAGGCCTAAGGGGTTGTAGATATTTTTTTTTCCTTTTTACCTCAGAGGCTTTTTTTTCTTCTGTCCACCCAAATTGGGGTGGGAGGGTGCGCAGCAGTGACCTCCAGAACCATGACTGGGACAAGTTAAGGTGATGGTAGTAGGGCTTAGAGCTGGAAATAGCCCTACAAGTCCCTAGAGCCCAAGAACAGTATCCTCTGGCCCCACACCCTAGGCCTCCCTGGGGTGAGCAGAAAGATTAAGCACAACAAAAGAGAGCCAGGATCCTCTTCCTAGCAGATCAAGAGTCTCGGCTGGGGTGTGGTTGGGATACAAAGCCTCTACCCTATACTCACATCCTTAAGGGCAGCAGGTGAAAACTGGGAGTAGGGATGAGATTAGGAATGGAATCTTGACCTCTGAATTAGAAAATGGGAGAATAAGTGTATAGCAGTTGGGTTAGCACACTGCAGGGGTGGGGGTGGGGGGAGAATTGGAAATCATTGATTGGATTGGGGTGTGGGTGAAAGGGGAGATACCAAATAAACCTACTTCATCTCTGCAGAGAACCAAGAGTTCAGATCCTAGCCCAGGCCACACCCATCTAAGGCCTGAGCTAAGGATTGAGTTGGGAAGGAGGGGCTGCGGAAGGGGGGGGAACGGAGAAAGAAGGGGAGAAATGGAGGGATGATGAAGGGAGAAGGCGAATGGAGAGTGAAGGGACAGGGATGAGTGGGGAAACAAAACAAGCATTAACCCTGGTATCCGGGACATATCCTATGGGGATGCCCATCCCTGTACCCCATCGTCCTCATCTGGTGGGCACTCACCCCAATAATGACGCTGTCATCCCCTTGAAAAAGGGGGATAAATTTGTCACCCCGCAGAATCTCCGACTGGTTCAGGGGTCTGAATCGACAGAGCACCTTGATGCTGCATTCATTGTTGGACTCCGTCATGGTGATGACCGGTGGTGGTGGCGGTGGTGATGGTGTGGGGGCGCTTTGGAGAGGCTGGGGGAGCTCAGCAGAGACAGACGAGAGAGGAGCAGAAGTGCCTCAATCTCTTGGACTGATGCTATATGGAGAAGGAAGAGGAAGGCTGATGAAGGGAGAGGGCTGGGGAAGCTCTCTCTGATGGCTCTGGAGATTTTTAGAGAAAACCCCCTCAGCTTCGCCTCCGGTTCTCTTTCCTCTCTGCCTCAGCCCCTCCCGCTGCAGCTCTACTCTGCGGGGTTGCTGGAGTGGGGGGGGGGGTGTCTGGAAGAGAGCAGGAGGCGGGGCTTCTCTTAAGGTGGAAGGGGTTGGGCTGTTTATGGGAAGGGATTCGGGCCCCCCCACTTTCTTAATTTGCTAGATAAACTAATCATCCCTTCCTGCCTGTTCCCACCAGAGGGAACCAGGGCTTTCCCCCAAATCCCCCCATCTCCCGTATAATTACTGAATCCTGGGTACCCTTGTCCCTTCGGATAACCAGTTTGACAGTGTTGGCTAAGAACTGGCTGCAGAAGAACAACATCCCCGCCCCCCAGCCCAGCTCCACCCTCTAGGAGTGGAGGAGGGGAGCAGGGAGATACAGCTCCCCATCCCAATGGAGGAAGGCGTGATGATCAAGATTCAAGTCCTCTCCCTTCCCCGACAGCTGCCCATCCTCCCCAGGATAAACTGGTGGGGGTTGGTGAGGGCCCTTTCTAACTGAGTAGTCCTTGAAAGAGACCAAACAGTCCTTCCCCTAGCAGGTGCATTCCAAGACCCCATTCCTGGGTGGGGCGTTGGGGCAGAGAGAGAAAGTATGAGTTGTCGGGATGTTCTCCTTTCCACTCTCATAGACTTTTCTAGGGAAGGGCAAAGATCGTGTATTGAGGTTGGGGGCTTCAGAGGAGAGAAAACATCCTAAGCTCCTGCTCGGCATGTGTGTGTGTGTGTGTGTGTGTGTGTGTGTGTGCATGTGTGTAAATAAAGTGCTGAGGAAAGAATTGTTCAGGTTCTGATTCTTCCTCCTTAAGAGAGAGAGTTACTGAAGTCAAAAGACTTGGGTTTAAAACCCACTTCAGCCACTTAGCGCCGTAACTAGAACGATTGAGGTTTTGTTCAAGGGCATCAACATGGTGGTCGAGGATCTTGCTTCCTCCCCACAGTAACCGCAGTTCCCGTGCAACCCGGAGTCCTCTTGCAAATGCAAATGCCATCCTCTGGCAACCACAATCCTCCGAGCTTGGTCTCGTGGTCCTTGACCCGCCGGAGCCCGATACCGGTAAAACCGTCCCCAGGCCCGTTCAGTGACTGTGAACCACTTGACTCCCCAACTTTCTCAGGATGAGGGCTGCACTCTCTGGGGGTACTTATCTCTCCATCTTCTTGAGGAACCTTAGACTGTCCACTGCAGCTACCCTCTTCCAGCCCCAGCTGAATTTGCCCCAGGTGCAAGAATTCCTAGCTAAGGCTCTGAGCTGTGTGACCTTGGGCAAATCATTACTCCTAGTATGAGCCTCCCTTTCCTCCTTTGTAAAATGAAGGCGTTAGACCACATCATCTTGAAGGTTCACTATATTGTCTGATTCTTTGGTGTTCTTATGGGCTGGGGGAGGCACTGAAATGCAAGAGGCAGGCCAAGGAGCAGGAAAGCTAGGGGAGAGGCAGCCTTATGCAGTGATCATGTGTGCAATGGCCTGTATGTGTGTTGTTGAATGTCCTGAATTTCCCAGCTCAGTCATCCCTGCTGAGACCCCTGAACTGAGAGTCATCATCTCTCCAATCCCCTCCCCCAGGTCTGACTC